GGCCCCCCCGGGCCGCAGCGGGGGAGCGCCAGGAGCTGTCGGGTGGTTTCCACAGCAACGCCGGGCCCTTGACGCATCCCAGTCTCGTTCAGACCCGGGCACCTGGCCCCCCAGGAGCAGGACCCGGCTCGCGACCCCCGGGCTCTCGCTGCATTAAACTACAGAGGCGCAGACCAGCGTCCGTCAGGACTGACACTGAGCCCCACAGCCCCTATTCACCCTTGTCTGGGGGGAGGGGCGATACCCCCACTGGGACCCACGTGGCCAGGGGCTGCTGTAAGAGCAGCCTTTGATGGGGGCAAGCAGCACAGAGACAGTGCTGTGGGAACTCCCCCTAGCACTGGCTGCTATTTCCCCCTTCCCGTAGTTGACTACTCGCTAACATCCCTAGGGAAGGAGACTCTTCCAGACAAGACCAGAGCGGGACACCCACTCCCTCCCCCAGGCCAACTGCCCTTCCTGGCCTATGGCCCCTCTTGCAGGGGCTGCCCAGAGTCGGCACACCCCTCCCCAACCCACTGCAGGAGTGCTGTACTAAGAATGAGGTACAATGGCATGGAAAGCCTAGGCCTGAACAAACACAGAGCACATTTCCCCCATCCCCAATTTGATGGTCCGTTCTCCTTCAACTCCAGACTCACTGGGGCAGTACTCTTCATTCTGATCCAGATATGCACATTAGTTAGCACTGGTGCTAGCTGAAGCTATTTGCTAGTTGCTGTGCAACTAAGGTCAAGCATGTAGATCACCGTTTAGCATATTTTCAATCACAAAGGGTCAGTCTTTGCTCATTGATAAATCTGCTTTCACCAACTAGCTAACTTTTCCTGAACTGGATACTTATACCTAAAGGCTACGTCTAAGCTGGCGCGTTCTCACGCAAAAACTCTTTTGGGGAAGAGTTCTTCGGCAAAAGCTCTTGCGGAAGAGTTCTTCTGCAAAAACACTTCGGCTGCGTCTAGACTGGCATGATTTTGTGGAAATACTTTTAATGGAAACGTTTTTCTGTTAAAAGTATTTCCGCAAAAGAGTGTCTAGATTGGCAAGGATGCTTTTGCGCAAAAAGTGCTTTTGCACAAAAGCACCCGTGCCAATCTAGATGCACTTTTGCGCAAGAAAGCTCCGATGGCTATTTTAGGTGGCTGTCTACACTGGCCCTGAGCGGGAGCGTGAAAGTATTTGCGCAAGAAGCACTGATTTTGTACATTACAAAGTCAGTGCTCTTGCGCAAATTCAAGCGACCGGTGTAAACAGCTGGCAAGTTTTTGTGCAAAATCAGCTGCTTTTGCGCAAAATCTTGCCAGTCTAGACGTACCCTTCCAGAAGAAAGCGTCTACACTGGCTTGCGCAAGAGATGTGCTTTTGTGCAAGAGCATCCATGCCAGTGTAGATGCTCTCTTGCACAAGAAAGCTCTGATGGCCATTTTAACCATAGGGCTTTCTTGCACAAGAAATTCATGTTGCCTGTCTACACTGGCCTCTTCTGGAAGAGCTCTTGCGCAAGAGGGCTTAATCCTGAGCGAGAGCATCAGAGTTCTTGTGCAAAAAGTCCTGATTTTATACATTAGAACATCAGTTTACTTGTGCAAGAACATGCGGCCAGTGTAGATAGGCAGCAAGTTTTTGGGCAAGAGCAGCCGCTTTTGCACGAGATCGCGCCAATGTACACACAACCAAACTGTATTGTTAAATGTAACTAAATTTGGATTATTGTTGATTATGTGTTATATATACCTTGTGACTTCTAAAAGGAACTTTGTGGATCATCTAAGCCCTATACTCAGATGTAGACATTTTCTAACATTTGTAGTATATAAATTTTTAACATTAGCTTTAAAACATTTTCTAAATCTAACAAAACCCATATCTATCACTGTGTTCTATTCCACCTAAGGGATAGATTCAGTCCAAGATGTAGAATGGCTCCCAGTAAAAGTAAGGCTCGCCATTCCTTAAGCATCTGAGAGTACCCTCACACTAAGGGCACACCCTGAAAGCGATGTCAAGGGTGGTGGAGAAAAGCAGGATCAAGCCCACAGAGTATTAGTATTTAATTGTACAGACCATGGCTGGCCCTACCATGAGGCGAACTGAGGCGGTGGCCTCGGGTGCCAGACTGGAGGGGGGGGGAGGTGCGCCCCTAGGACCCAGAAGGTAGAAAATTGTGTCTGCTGCTGGTGCATATGTATTCTCTCTGCTCTAGATGCACAGAGATGGTGGCAGAGGTGAACAGGAAGAAGGCAGAATTGAGACCTTTCAAAGTTTTGGCCCAAGCGAGGGGACATGAGGAGCATCATTTGAGCTCCCTGCCTCAGGTGCCAAAATGTTGTGGGCCGGCCCTGGTACAGACAGATTGGCAGGATGAACAAATTCCTTCTATTTTAGAGCCAAGTTCATCCACAATGCCATGGAAAAATCAGGGACTGATCCAAGTTGTGCTGACTCCAGGCTCTAGCAGTTAGCTCTCCTTTGATGCTTCATTCTAATGAAAGCTCTCAACATAAGGCACTCAGCCAGTCATGCAATATTGGACATGGAACAAGAGGCCCTTTCTGACCCCCAGCAGACTTACAATCTAAAGCACACAGTTCAATGGAATAGAAAGGAACAACCTCTTGCCTAACTCTTCTTTCATCATTTCCCCCTTCTGCGAAATGGAGAGGTTTCTTGTGTCTCAGAGTCAGAAGGCTTATCAAAACACATCTTAAAAATGAAGCAAAATGCAGGAGTATGTAGCACTTTAAAGACTAACAAGATGGTTTATTAGATGATGAGCTTTCGTGGGCCAGACCCACTTCCTCAGATCAAATAGTGGAAGAAAATAGTCACAACCATATATACCAAAGGATACAATTAAAAAAATGAACACCTATGAAAAGGACAAATCACATTTCAGAACAGAAGGGGGATGTGAGGAGGGGGGGGGGGAAGGAAGGTAAGTGTCTGTGTTAATGATATTAGAGGTGGGGAAAGTTAGATGTCTGTGAACTAATGGTATTAGAGGTGATAATTGGGGAAGCTATCTTGGTAATGGGTAAGGTAGTTGGGGTCTTTGTTCAATCCCCCCTGGAGAGTGTTGAATTTTAACATGAATGACAGTTCAGAGGATTCCCTTTCAAGTGCAGATGTAAAAGGTATTTGTAGCAGAATGCAGGTGGTTAAGTCGTTGAGACAGTGTCCTTTCTGGTTGAAATGGCAAGAAATAGTTTTTTCTTTGTGATCTTGTCTGATATCTGTTTTGTGGGCATTAATCCTTTGGCGAAGTGTCTGAGACATTTGTCCAATGTACATAGCAGACGGACACTTTCGGCACGATAGCATAAATTATATATCTGGATGCGCAGGAATGTGTTCTTGATCTTATAACTTACTTGGTTAGGTCCAATAATGGTATCAGCAGAATGAATATGTGGACAAAGCTGGCAACGGGGTTTGTTGCAAGGGAAGGTACCAGGGTTGGTATTAGTGTGGTATGTCCTGTGGTTGTTAAGAACCATCTTGAGGTTGGGTGGTTGTCTATAGGAGACTATGGGTCTGTCTCCCAG